AGCACAGCTCAGTGGTAGAACACCCGGGGTTCAATCTCTATCTCTAGTACTACTAAAAAAAAAAAAAAAAGGAAAAGATGATTCAAAATACAAGGGCAATGAAAAGACCTAGTGCTCCAATCTTGGTTTCTACTTTCTAACATCATTCTTCAGTAAAATGAACAAAGGGCATGCCTGTAATCCCAGTGGCTCAGGAGACTGAGGCAGGAGGATAGCGAGTTCAAAGCCAGCCTCAGCAAAAGCAAGGTGCTAAACAACTCAGTGAGAGAGACCCTGTCTCTAAATAAAATACAAAATAGGGCTGGGGATGTAGCTCAGTGGTTGAGTCTCTCTGAGTTCAATCCCCAGTACCCCCCACCCAAAAAAAAATGAACAAAAATTCCTTGGAGAAATGGCTGATTCTAGAATTGAAGCAGGAAATATATACATGATGAGCCTGGAACATCTTCAAAAGGAGAGCTTACTTTGTATATCAAAGAGGAAAAGGGCCAGCTAAAAAAATAAGAGTTCCCAATGTCTAAAAGGTTGAGGGTTAGGGATGTAGCTCAGCAGTAAAGTGCTTGCCTAGCACACACAAGGCCTTGGACTCAATCCCCCGCATCAATAAATAAAGGCTGGAACAGTCAAGCAGTAAAATAAAAATAGTATTGGATTAAAAAACCTAATTATAAAATAAAAAATCAATGTCAATATTGATATAAATAAATGTTTGAAAAAATAAACATAAAGGAGAGAAATCTCTTGTGCAGAATAATTCCAAATGATCTCTGTCCTTAAGGAAAAAAACCTAATATCCTACTCTTGATGTTTGGGCTGCATAAGTGACTTCCCTCCAAAGAATATAATGGAAAGGAGGAGGGTAGAGAGAAACTCTACAGTAGAGAAGCCTTACAACCACTACCTTACCTGATGACCATGGTCAATATCAATATTTAAAAAATCACTGTGATCCTACATCATTATCACTCTGCCTCTATGGTCTTATCCCCAAAATACATAACCCCATCTAATCATGAGAAAAATGTCAGATGAATTCCAATGGACAGGGAGCATTGTGACTAGTACACACCTATAATCTCAGTGACTCTCAAAACTGAAGCAGGAAGATAATAAGTGCAAGGCCAGCCTAAGCAATTCCGCAAGGTCCTGTCTCCAGTGGAAAAGCCAGGAGTAGTGGCCCAATCCTGTAATCCTAGCAGCTCAGGAGGCTGCGACAAGAGAATCACTAGATCAAAGCCAGCCTCAGCAACACTGAGGCATGAAGCAACTCAGTGAGACCCTGTCTCTAAATAAAATACAAAATAGGGCTCGGGATGTGGCTCAGTGGTCGAGTACCTGAGTTCAATCCCCATTACCAAAAATAAAATAAAATGAAGAGAAGCCAGGTGTGGTGATGCATGCCTGTAATCCCACCAGTGCAGAAGGCTGAAGCAGGAGGATCCCAAGTTGAAAGCTGGTCCTGGCAACTTAGTGAGATCCTGTCTCAAAATAAAAAATAAAAAGGGCTGGGGACATGGCTCAGTGGTTAAGCACCCCTGGGTTCAATCCTCAATAACAAAATAAATAAATAAATATTTAGAAATTTAAAATATATAAGTAAAATGAAAAGGGCTAGGGATGTAGCTCAGTGTTAAGAGTATCCCTGGGTCTAGCCCTTGCTACCATAAAAAGGCATAGGCAACTCAGGAGACAGGGTGATGCTAAGAATAATAACTGTAGTTAAGGAACAAACTAAGCAGTGAGGAAATGGAAATAGGTTTAGACCTGATATTCAATAAATCTGCCTGTGAATAGGAAAGAAACAGAAATGACATGCCTTGATTTTTCAATGAAACATAGTGAGCTTATCTGCCATAAAAGGAAAAATTAAAAGGGTGGGGCACAGAGAGTAGAAAAGATTAGAGAGATGGTCATGGGAAATTTAATGACACCTGGAAAAAAGTATTGTAGAGAAGCTGTGATCTGACAGAAGTTAACATTATATGGAATCTGCTAGTTTCTATGCTTTTTCTCTAGCAACATGCAACAGTCTAGAAACAGAAGCCAAGAAACTAGTTGATAGGTATGATTCAATATAACAGAAGCCCTTGCCTTAGTATAGAAGATCAAAATTACTAAGAAAATGAAAAAGATAGTATCAAATTGGTTGGCCATACAGGTCTAACTAAGCAGCAGCAAAGGTAATCATAAGGTACTGGTAGACTCAACAAAATGGGAAGGATCGAGAACCAGAAAAATAGGAATGAAGCTCTAATAGTATAGCTCTTGCCTAGCATGCTCAAGGTCTTGGGTTTGATCTTCAACACTGCACACTCCCACAAAAAAAGAATCAGAGCACCTAAAAAAGACAAATAGCTGCCTTTGTAGATCTGAGGTAGTCAAAAAGGGGAAGGAGGGCTGGGGTTATGACTCAATGGTAGAAGGCTTGCCTAGGATGTGTGAGGCACTGGGTTTGATTTTCAGCACTGTGTATAACTAAATGAATAAAATTAAAGTCCATTAACATCTAAAAAATAAATAAATACAGTTTAAAAAAAAGTAAAGGAGCTGGGTATAGTGGTATAAGCCTGTAATCCCAGTTACATAGGAAGCTGAGAAAGGAGGATCACAAGTTCAAGGCCAACCTGAGCAACTTAGTGAGACCCTGTCCTAAAATAAAATAAAAAGGCTGGAGATGTAGCTTAGTGGATGACTGCTTGCCTAGCATGCATAAAACCTTGGGTTTAATCCCAGTATCACAAAAAAGAAGAAAAAAAGAAGAAGGTGGTAACTGGTAAGGAGGCTAAAGTAAGTACTTGGAGGGTACCTGAAGGGAAGGTACTGGTAGTATTGTCAGGTTGGTGGCAGTGACTTAGAACAAAGCAGCCTGTGTGGGAAAGAAACATCAACCAGGCCCCCACGGAAACACCTGCCAATTAGCAGGATCTCCTGACTACCACCTGTCAATCAGCAGGACCCCTTGGACAATCCTGGAGTTCAGCCAGCTTTCCACCAACTCCAGCGGGACAAGGGACTCTAAAACACATTTTCCTGTCCCAAGCCCTTCCCTTCCTGCCTAAGCCCCATAAAATTCCAGTCCAGTCAAGCTCCCACGCGGTTTCTCCTCAGACCCTTCTCCTTGATTTTTCAATGAAACATAGTGAGCTTATCTGCCATAAAAGGAAAAATTAAAAGGGAGGGGCACAGAGAGTAGAAAATATCAGAGAGATGGTCATGGGAAATTTAATGACACCTGGAAATTTAATGACACTCTGTTGGTGTGATCGAGTTCCGCCCAGGAGTGATATCTCAAATAAGGCCTCATTCAGAGGCCTTTTTAAATCTTCGTCCTTTGGTCACTGCCCACCTTGCCTGATCTTATAAGTGTCACTGATGAGGTCCAGGTTGTAGTGATTCTAACATATATCTGGTTTGAAAATAGAAAGGTAAGTCAATGGTCTCATGCTGAGAACCAGGAGATCAGAGAATTTGAAAAGTGCTAAAGACACTGAGAATAATAGCAAGAAACAGCATAGAGAAAACAATATGGTTTGATGGGTCTGGGTCCTTATGGACAATAAATAATGGCACTGAAGTTTTAAAGAAACTACTATAATTGCATGGCAATACCTTCTACAAAGATTGCAGTGACAATGGTAGGCCAATTATCAGAAAGCTGTATAGGAGTGGAAAAGAACAGTTTATTCCTCCCTCTTTCCCACACAGGCAAAGGGAACAGAAAATGTCTCTTTATGGCAGGGTAAGGGAGATGTGATATCTGGATTTTTATTAAGTCAGGATTAAGGGGAAAAAAAAAGGACTGGATGATAAGTAGTATTTTCAGAACATACATTAGAAGTTGAACACATTAAAGAAAGACTGAACAGTCAGCACAAACAAAGATGGTGTATCACTTTGAAGAGGAGAGACCTGGGTTGTCATTAGGTACCATAAGATAGAGGGCTGAGATATAAGAAACATATAAAGCAGCAGAACAAGCGGCATGAATGGCACATTTTAAAACACACTGTGCATACCACTGCATATGCTCGGTGTCACCTACACAGAAGACTCACATATACCATACAGGCTACAAAAACATAATCACCTCGCACTTACATAGCATTTTACAAACTACTTTCGTATATATTACCCTATTTCACCTTCACTGGGTCGATATTACTACCATGCACATTTTTCTAAAGACAAGATTACTAGGATAAGACAAAACTATGAAGAAAGCCTTTATTTTTCAATTTATCACATACACAGCAGACATTATTTGGCATCTCAAATAATCGGGCTAAAATTCTTCTCAAGCCAGAAGGAATAGTAGGTTCTGTCAACCAAAGACCTTGGGAGAAGTCACTAGACACCTTCCTGTTTGCCTTCTCTCACCTTAGATTCTGCAATCCCTATCATCATCACCGGGGGAGGTAGAGATAGGTGGCTCCATCAAGGAAAAAACTCAAGTTGAAAGTTATATTAAGTTCCTCCTCCCTTCACACATCTAGACCTCAGTGACCCAACAAATCAAGATGAGAGGGAGAGTGGGAAAGGAACTAGGTAGCAATGGATTGGTCTTCAGTAGATATAGCTTCGAGAAAAAGAATGAAAACAGGGATGGGTAGGACAGGAAACAGGTATAACTAAGACATGAGGGGGGGAGGCAGGGGGCTGGAATTGGACGGAAGTAAGAGTGTAGGAGTCCATAAGGCTGGAGAACCAAACAGAGATATAGGAGCTCCAATCGCTGCAGAAAAACTGAGGGCCCGTGAGGGTCCTGAAGCAGGGAGCATTGAAAGACCCAGGGTTTGGGTGACCGGAAGCAGAGACCCCCCAAATACGAGACCAGAAGGGGGCGCAGGTGACACCCCGGAGGAGAGAATGAATGGGGAAGGCGGTCCGGGGGGCGGGGCAAAGGAGGGGCCCCGGGATGGGCGGGGCACAGACCCCTTTGCAAGTACGAACCCCTACCCCGAGAGCCCAGGGAGAAGCGAGTCCGCGACTCCCGCACTCACCGCCGGTCTCGTCAGTTACATAGGGAGTCGCCATCTTGAAAACGCAAACCACTTCCGGCGTGCGCGGACTGGGGTCCCGCCCCCTCCCTACCGGAAGTGGAGTCCTGTTCGTAGCACGCCACCATTTTAGTCTTAAAGGAAGAGTGCACCATTTCGTGGGCGAGGGAAAGGAAGAGGGGACTAGAAGCTGAGATAGTTGATAAAATAAAGCCTTGGATTCTTATTGCCACCCATATCACCCTTAAGCGCCTGGTGCGTGTAAATCAGCTGGGAGCGGGAGAGGTCCCGACACACAATTTCTCTCATCCCAGAACTGTACATCTAGGACATGCGAGGGGAAAGGGGCGCAAGGCCCAATTGCACCCGAAAGAGGGGGCTGATACAGAAGTAAAGGAAGACTATTCATGCTCTGACCTGACCCAGGTACCAAGGAGACTTGGTGACACGGGGCCGGCAAACTCCAGCAACGTACTTGAGTGCACCAATATTGCTGGAGGCATGTGGAAGACCCCAACTAACCCTTAGAAGGTGGGGCGGTCAAACTGGCATGCTGTTTGCCCTCACTGCCCAGCTAACTCTAGATCGAGACCTAAGAAAGAGGCCTGCAAGTCGGTGGCCGCTGCGGCTTGGTCACCTGTCCCCACACCCTCAGGGTTGCGGCTGGCTTTCATGGCCGAGTTGGGGCGGGCGGGCAGCACCGGGCAGCCTGGGCACTCGGTGGCGAAGTGACTTCCTGCCCTGGCCGCCTACCGGAGGAGTCTCCTCACGGTGAGCCCTAGGGTCAAGGCAGAGTGAAGGCATCTGGGCGGACCCAGTTAGTATTCTGTTCAACCTCGTGCAAGTCTCTGGGAGCTGAGGATCTAAAGCGGGATAGCTAGCCTATAATCCCAGCCGGCCCACACGGTAACTCCCTTGGCAGGTCTGCCCTGCCTCCAGCCTCAATTGTTCTTCAAAGAACCCCAAAGTTCTCCCTCCCCCACTCCTCTGTAGCTGTAATTCCTCAGGGCTAAATCTTGTTAAACTAGTTTCTCTTTTGGCCTGGGAGGGGCGAGTCACAGCTTCCTCTCCTCAGGTATCTGGACTCTGTGCTCCTCCATCCCCTTATTTATTTTTCTTCAGCAACCCCTTTACCTTCCTCTGTAACCCTTATTTTAATGCCCACAGTACCTCTGTGAATATTAGTGACCACCTCTAACACTAGGCAGCATGCCTTAGTTAAAAAAAAAAAAAAACAAAAATTAAAACAGCAATTGGCTGACTAGGACCTTAGTCAAGCAAATTAAACCTCAGAAGTTTTTTTCAGGGCCACACCTGTGCTTTCTTTCCGTTCTCCCATCTCCTTGACTTCTACCTGGGACCCAACTCACAGGTCTCAAAAAGATTTATTTAAAAACTATTTACATCTTTGGGCTGGAGTTGTGGCTCAGTGGTAAAGCACTTGCCTAGCACGTGAGAGGCACTGGGTTCGATCCTCAGCACCACATAAAAATAAATAAATAAATAAAGATATTGTGTCCACCTACAACTATTTAAAAAAAAAAAAAGCATCTCTGAGCCTGCTCAGTACACAACATAAACCAAGCTCACCCTCTTGAGCTGAAAAAATTTATGGACAAGAAGTTATCATTGAAATTAAATGGTGCCAGACATGTCCAAGGAATATTATGGGGAATCTGACCCCTTTAAGAATCTTGTGATCGGGGCTGGGGATGTGGCTCAAGCGGTAGCGCGCTCGCCTGGCATGCGTGTGGCCCGGGTTCGATCCTCAGCACCACATACAAACAAAGATGTTGTGTCCGCCGAAAACTGAAAAATAAATATTAAAAATTAAAAAAAAAAAAGAATCTTGTGATAGATGAATGTGTGGATATCGGAACTAATGGGCAACAGAACAACTAATGGGCAACAGAACAATAGTGGAATGGTGGTAATACAAGGAAATAGTATCATCATGTTAGAAGTTTGGGAACAGGTACAAATAATGACTATTCAGCAGAGAAATCCATCACCCCTCTCCAAAGGGACTAACTATGACCTAAAAATCAGGTCATGTATATTTTCATATTAAACTTTTTGTTAAATAAACTTTTTAATAGTTAAAAAAAAAAAAAAACTATAAACCATGCGTGTGGTGGTACATGCCTGTAATCCCAGTGGCAAGTCTGAGGCAGGAGGATCACAAGTTCAAAAACAAACAGCCTCAGCAACTTAGCAAGGCCCTAAGCAACTCGGAGACCCCATCTCTAAATAAAATATTTTATAAAAAGGGGGCTGGGTGGGCTGGGATTGCGGCTCAGAGGTAGAATGCACGCCTAGCATGTGTGAGGCACTGGGTTCGATCCTCAGCATCACATAAAGTAAAATAAAGAAATCGTGTCCACCTATACCTAAAAATAAATAAATAAATATAATTTAAAAGGGGGAGTTGGTGCTGGGGATGTGGCTAAGTGGTTAAATGCCCTGGGTTGAATCCTCAGAACAGAAAAATAAAACTATTTACATACAGATGGGAAGGGCAACACACACTTAGTCCCAGCTACTAGGGAGGCTAAAGCAAGAATCCAAGACAGACTCCGTTGTGCTTCAGCCCTGCCCCATCCATCATTCTGTCCTTAGCCTTGTAACTAATAAGAGGTGAGTATGATAGGAAGCCTCTAAAAATTAGTGGACTACATCAGTATCTAAGGAATGGTCTTTGTGGCTTCTGATGGGCCTGTTCTGCAAGGGGAATCCTAAAGTGGGCACTGCTCATTACCTAACCCTAATCCCCCACTGTGCCCCAAAACCTCCTGCCCCAGTTCTGGGTGACAGGAAGTGAAACTCAACTGTCTGCTTAGTAGACCAACCTAGTACCCAGCCCGGGGCCCCGGATGTGACCCCCCACCCTGAGGAGGAAGGGGGTAAAAAGAGGCTGGGGAGAACAGGCTGTTGTTTTTTCCTTTCCCTTTGTTCACTGCGGTTTCTTTCTTTCTGACTTTTATGATGTGGTTGACTACAGAAATGAGCACCTGGAACTGTAGGCATTAGATGCCTCCTCTTTAGATGTTTCTTTGCCTTTCTTCCCCACCTTCAATTACTAACTTGGGGTATGATGGAGCACAGATCCAAACAAGATACAAAGAAGGCTAGAGTAAGATTGATTTCATCTTATTCCTTACTAAACAAATAACACCCATTGAAGTTAAAAAAAAAAAAAAAGTCTTCAAAGGCGTGTCTTTAACTTTATGTAAAGACCGGAAGAGGGGTTATGGACCTATTCTTACTTGTATACTCAGAGCAGAGAAGCTTTATAATATTTACACTCTTTTCTACAGTCCCTAAACTGGGCTGTTTTTGCCTATCCTGCAGAACTAAGTACAGAACCTGATATATAGTTGGCCTTCAAAAGTATTTGTTGGCCATGACTAAGGAGGTCACAAAACGAAGCTTTGCTGGGGCTCTGGCTGTGGCTCAGTGGTAGCACATTTGCCTGGCATGTGTGAGGTACTGGGTTCAATTCTCAAACCGCATATAAATAGATAAAAGTCTATCAACAACTAAAAAAAATTAAAAAAAAAAAAAAGAACCTTTGCTAACAATGAAGCAAATACTTTTCCAAGTGAAGGATGAGCACATGCCTGTAATCTCAGTGATTCTAGAGGCTGAGGCAGGAGGATAGCAAGTTTGAGGCCAGCCTCAGCAACTTAGTGAGGCTCTGTCTCAAAAAGGGCTGGGGATATGGCTCAGTGGTTAAGTGCTCCTCAATCTCTGGTACCAAAAAAAAAAAAAAAAAAACAACTGAGGATAAAACCTGGAGAGGACACAGTTGCAGAGACAGCCCCTCCTCCAATCTCTGCTAGAGATCTCCAGTTTAGATATAATAATGTTCTCAAACCTTACTACTCAGCAGCCATATTTCTGGAAAAAGTGGAGCAGTTTCTTCAACTAGCTTGTCTTGAGACAATTGGGAATTATTTGCCTCCCTCTGTTTCCACTAGAGGGCCTCATGCATTCATTCATTTCTTTTCCTCTGTGACCCCTACCAAGCATAAGTATATATTTTGTGTATGTGATATATGTGTGTACACACACATACACATACACACTCCCAGTCAGAGGTCTCTCCTCCCCCTCCTTCCACCTCAAAGGTAAGAGGGACTATTCCAGGAACTCAAGGCTTTGTCATTCTGCCCTACTTCAAAGGAAGGGTAGGAGGGAGTTAGGGGTTGGGGCGGGGCTAGGGAGCAGGATGCCTGGGTCCCCAGGTCTTAACAGTAAGTCCCTAGGCTGTGTCTCTCTCCCTTGCTCTACCAGTCTGAGGACCATCCATGCTGCCCCCAGAGCCTTGACAGCTCCTGAACAGATTCCAGGCAAGAGAAACTGAAAGGATCTCCTTTTAGCCCCTACTTTTGACTAGGGCCTTCTGCATCACTTGCTGAGGTCAGTAGGTAAAATGGGAGGGTTAGGGCATAGAGGAATGGTGCACACAGACCAGAGAGCTCTTTGCACTCTAGAATTAGGGAGAGGATATGAGTTTTGCATGGAGATGTCCATAGACTGGAGGAATAAGTCTGAAAGGCTGACAGATTGTCTCAAGAAGTGTCAAGCAAGCCATGCAAGAAGGGAGGTGACTGGATCTCAGGAAGTGGAGTGTGGAACCTTGCCCTGCCCTTGTGGGATCTTCTGGGTGAGAAGTCATGGTGGATGGAAAGGAGTTGAACAGGGAAGCCCAGGGTGGCAGCAATTAGGATAGGGGAACTGATGGGTGGTTGGACAGCTATGAAGCTGTTCTCATCTGCCTGCCTCTGCTCTTGACTTCCCAGGTTTGGGATGAGGGGAGAGGCCGTGATTAGAAAGAAGGGGATATGGAAGCAGAGCTACCCCAGGCACTAGAAGACTAGATGGAGGGCAGAAAATGAGAAAGTGGTACAGAACAGAGCCCTGGAGACATTCGGGGGACAGTTTATGTTGAACTGGAAATCTGGAAACAGGCCTCTCTGGTTCCCGGTATTGGGGGCGCGGGAGCGGCAGGCGAGCAGGCTGGGTGGGGGGCGGGCAGCTGTGTCGTCAGGAGTTGGGGCGGCCCCGAGGCCGCTGCGTCTGCCTGGCCCGTCCCCTCCAGCCCAGCTCCAGCTCCAGCTCCTCCAGCGCCAGCGCCAGCGCTTCAGCTCCGACCGCTCGCCCTCCTCGGGCAAGGTAGAGACCCCGCCCTTCCACGCTCTCCCACCGGAGTAGGAGGCCGGCCTCCAAAGGGGTCGCCTCGCGGGCTGGGTTGGGGCTGCGAGGCAGCGAAGGAGGAAGCGTAACAGCTGGAGTGGGTGGCTAGGGTGGTTTGCGCTAGGACGCCGCGGGCAGGGGGAGGGTTGGGCCAGAACCGCGTAGGCAGCCTCTCCACAGACATTTTCTTCCATCCTTCCTGGTCACTCGGAAGGATGATGAAGCTCTGCTTCTTGGGAACCCGACTCCCAAGGAAGTCCCTTTTGGAATCTCCACAGTGCCGCACAGGTGGAGAAGGGTTCTTATTTGTCCTCCTGGTCCCCAACTTCCTATCCTCATCCTTTACACACCTGTCACCAGCTAGTTTCTAAAAATCCCTGATTCTGAATCCCACTTTTCAGCTTAAAGTAAAAGAAATGAGTCTTCTCGCGGAAGAAATGCAAATAGTGTTAGACATCTCTTCAGCCTCAGAACATACATGGCCACATCCCCACAACCATGCCAATATCGTAACTTCCTCCAGTACTACGCAATGATACCCTCCACATGTACCACCCCCTTAACCAGACAACACTATCGTCTGCGATGTTTGTGGAGGTTTAATTAATTTTGAGGCTTCGGGCCAAATAATTCTCTCTCGGGGACCACTGACTTACAGAAGCAGGAATGAACAGGGAATAATAGACCTTTTATCAGTCTTGGGAGAGGAAGAGGATACAGTTCCTGATAGAGTTAAGGGATTCAGAGGCCCAGGTAATCAGGCCTGAGCCCTCAAACTAGGAGTGCCTGCCCCTTGGGGATTCTTGCTGGGACAGCCTGAATGTCCTGGGGACATAGCTAATTCTTGAGTAATGATCAGCTTATGACCTGGAATGTGAAAATTTAAATGTTAGCACTGGCTTTAGCAATAATATTTATCTCTTGGTTAACACCAATTTTAGTGTTTGATGTTTAAAATTAGATCTAGGGAATGAGAGATACTAAGATTTAGTGGGATGGAGTAAGGACAGCACATCTAGAGTCTAAGACTCTGACAGTCATTTTCTCTAAGTCTTACTTTCCTCCATTCTCTTCGTTTGATTGTTTGTTAGAGATGGGGTGGAGGGTGTTTCAGTATGTTGCCCAGGTTGGGCTTGAATTCTGGATCCTCCTGGCCAGCCTCCTGAGAACCTGGATATAAAGGCATGTGCCACTGAGCCCTGTTGTTCAGTTTCCTCCTTTGTAAAATATGAGAATTGGCAACTCCCAGCTGAGGATGTTGTAGCATTCTTCACCTTTAAATCAACATATTCCTTTTGCCCCAAGTTGGAAGAGGTGGGTAGGGAAACCAGAAGAGAGAAGGGTAGAGTGAGTCACAAATAGCTGGCAGGCAGGCAGCAGACCCCACCCTTCTAGCCCTGGCATTCGCCTGGACTAGCCCAGGTTATAGCCTCAGGGTTGGGATGGAGCTAGAGGACAAAATTGAACTTGTTCCAGATCTTTAAGGGCCCAGGATCCTGCAGATTGCTGTCCTTCACCCCCAGAGGCATCCAAACTTTCAATGAAAGAAGTCAAAAAGAAGATTGAACAGATCCAGGAGTCCTTATGTCCAAGAGCTCAACCCAGGGATGTCCTTGGACTCTTTTTTTTTTTTAAAGTATTTCCCCATCTTTTTTTTTTTTTTGAGAGAGAGAGATAGATTTTAATATTTATTTTTTAGTTTTCGGCATCTTTGTTTGTATGTGGTGCTGAGGATCGAACCCAGGCCGCACACATGCCAGGCGAGCGCACTGCCGCTTGAGCCACATCCCCAGCCTCTGTCCTTGGACTCTTAACAGTCTAGTTTCTAAAAATTCCAGAGCAAAGTATAGGATTCTGACATTACTATATGTTGGTACCTGATATATAAAAAGGGGTGGAAGGTATACACCCGAGCTTCACTGCTGCTTGAAGTCCCTAGAACTTGTGCCTTTCTGGTTCAGTGGCATAATTTTTCATAATGTCCACATATCCTTCTCTAGGTAGAATAATAGCTAATGTTTATTGAATTCTTTGTGACACACAGTTTATTATATACATTGCTTATACAATCTTATTTAATCTCCACTCTGTGACAGATTTCTCTAGGTACCCATTTTACTGATGAAAACTGAGGTTGGGCTGGAGGCATAGCTCAGTGGCAGTATGCTTACTCAGCATTCATGAGGCACTTATGCATACATATACAACACTGAGATTCAAGGAAATGAAATGACTCATCCACAAGCTAGGATTTTAACCTATGCCTAATTTGAAAGTCCATCCCTGCCCCCTTTGTGGTAGGAGGGATTGAATTCAGACCTTTGCTATGTTAGGCAAGTGCTCTACCACTGAGATACATTCCCAACCTTTTTTAAATTTTTGAGACAGTTTTCACTAAGTTGCCCAGGCTGGCCTCAAACTTGGGATTCTTCTGCCTTGGTTTCCCAAAGTGCTGGGATTACAGGTTTATACCACAAACCTGTCCCAAAGTCCGTTTTCTTAGTTAACTAGTAACTAGTGGTTACTAATATATAGTAATTGCTACATACTACTTCTCCAGGTTTAAGGCCTGGAGAGCTAGGAAGAGGCAAAAACAAGTTGAGTCATTGTGAAAAGAGAGACAAGGAGATAATTTGGAACACATACAGTAGGTGGTAAATCAATAGTTGATTTATTTTCCTCTCTTTTATTTTTCCTTGTGCTGTCATTTTCTCCCTCAGATTCTATTTTTCCAGAACTTTGGAGTAATGTAAGAATCCCCAAGGGGTTAATCAGAAAGGCTAATTAAGCAATGCAGGCCCTATTGATACTAAGATTGTTATATATTCATTAGATCTGTTGGCAGCAGAAGTTGAATTATAGTAATTGGTAAAGGCCAAATGGGTAGTCTTTTCTCCAGGATGTCAGTGTCCCAGGACCCTCTTCCAAGTGTTCCCAGAAAGCCCTGGAACAGGAATGTTGTACTGCATAGAGGTGGACAGCAGAGATGTCCCAAGGGCAGAAGTTGCAGAGAAGGTTCTTGCGCCATCAGAAAGGAAGGGGGCGGAACTATTGTAGGCCCTAAAGGCCTCCCTGCTTTGCCTGATCTCATAAGCCCCAAAGGAGTAAATGGAGGTCAAAATGTTTGATGAAGTAACTCAATAAATGCTTTATAGAATCATTTACTCTTTTACCAACTATTGATTTACCATCTACTGTATGTGTTCCAAATTATCTCATCCTTTCCTTACTGTTAAGTAGACACTGCTATCCATTTAATCATACTGATTAACAGTTCCAAAATAAGACTCCCCTGCTTTATACAATCATTCGTATAACCTATATTGAGCACTCACTATATGCTGGACGTTCTTTTAGGTACTTGGACTATATTGGCAAACAAGACTGACAAGTTCCTGCCCTTATGGAACTCACATTTTTTAAAAATAATTATTTTATTACATTTATTTGTATGTGATGCTAAGGATCGAACCCAGTGCCTAACACATGCTAGGCAAGCACTCTACCACTGAGCTCCAGACTCAGCCATGGAACTCACATTTGATAGAAGAGAACAGTAAATAAAAAGCAAATTTCCAGTTACTTTGGATGCCAAGGTAGGAGGATCACAAGTTTAAGGCCAGCCTGGGCAATTTAGTGAAGCCCTGTCTCAAAATAAAATAAAAATAAGGACTGGGGATGTGGCTTAGTGGTGGGGTGCTTGCCTGGCATGCACCACAATCCTCATCACCACAAAAAATAAAATAAAATAAAAATAAGGGTTGTTGATGTAACTCAGAAGCAGAATTATCCAGGATTCAATCCCATAACTCCCCTTCCCCCACTGCCTGGGACACACACACAAAGAAACAAATAAATAGGGAAGATAATTTCTACTTGTGATAAATTCTATAAAGGAAACAAAGAAGAAATACCATTTTAAGATGGAACAGTCAAGGAAGCTCTCTTGGAGGAGCTGATATTCAGTTGAGGCAAGAAGTTGGCTTTGCCAGGTGTGGGGAGGAGGATGCAGTGCTGCACAACTATAATCCCAGTGACTCTGGAGGATGAGACAGGAGGATTGCAAGTTTGAGATCAGCCTCAGCAACTTAAGTGAGGTCTTAAGCAACTTAGTGAGAACCTGTCTCAAAATAAAAAGTAAAAAGGGCTGGAGACATGGCTCAGAGGTAAAGTGCCTCGAGGTCCAATCCCCAATATCCAAAATAAATAATAAAAACTTAACTTTTAATATAATAACTACCATTTTTATAGGCTTCCTGTATGCAAGGCATTATACTAGGCATTTTTCATATATTATATTATTTAATATAATTGTGAAAGCTAGGTATCATTCTCCCCACTTTACAGATTTAACTTGCCCGAGACACACAGAGCTATCAGAGCTAAGAATTGGAACCAAATAGAACTGACTTTTAGTTCTGTTTGACTCTAAAATCGTGCTGTACTATTTACTATTGTAATATGTAATAACGTATTTTTTGTTTTCTTCTGGTACTGGGGCTTGAACCCTGGGGCGTTTAACAACTGAGCCATATCCCCAGACTTTTTATTTTATTTTGAAACAGCATCTCAATAAGTTGCTTAGGGCCTCGCTAAATTGCTGAGGCTGCCTTTGAACTCCAGACCCTCCCGCTTCAGCGATCCTCCAGCCTTAAACCGCCCCCACCCCCAAGTCGCTGGGATTACAGGCGTGCACCACCACGTTCAGCTGTAACATGTAATTATTGTATTGCTGTTTTTGAACCATCAAGGCAAGTCGCCTTCTGCAACTTGGTCCCTGTTTGGGGGGATGGAGTGTGAGGATCAGCAATATCCACGTGAGAGCTCCTCCTTGTTTCCTGGGTCCAATAGCAGAAAGTTGGGGTTCCCTAAACCTAGGGTTCCTCCTAGGTTCCTTAAACTTAGGAGGGTGGAAGGAAGACCCTGGCATCCAAGACTCCAGCACGCAGCTCCATGGTGCGGCGCCTGGGAAATGAGGCTGGTGTACAGAGCATTCTACCACTACCTCCTCCCAGCCCCGCGCGCCTGGGTCCCCACCCTTTCCCAGTGGAGCTCCACGGCGAGGCGGGGCCAGAGCTAGGGACCCAGCCAGAGCCTGCGCTGGTTCTGTGTCGCGCGTCAGAAGCGCTAGAGGTCGTTGCGGGGCGTGGGTGGCTCGGGGAAGTGGGTAGCTGAGCGCCCTGGGGACCCCAGCTAGAGGCGGAGCAAAATGGGGTCCTGGCCTGGGAGGCGTGCTAGCTTAGTAAGAACCACCCGGAGGGCTGGCGGGGACTGCAGACCTGAGATGGAAGAGAAGTCGGGCTATGAAGAGACTACAGAGACTGGGGGTGGCGTGAGACACAGAAACAGGCCAGAGATATATTCATATAAACATATATAGACTTGGAAAGGAGGGGTGGAAGGTGGGGAGGTGATGAGGGTCAGGTGAATCAAGATGGATTTGGGGAGAAGTCAGAGTGGGAAAAGATCCAGAAATGAAGGAGAGAAAGTTAAGAAATGAGTCAGAGAAACAGAGATAGAGGACAGGCTCTGTAAGGGAAAATAGAGAGGGGGAGGTTTAGGGAGGGACACAGAGAAGGAAAGCACAGAAATCACAGTGGGAGTAAAGACTGAATGGATCAGAGAGAAACAAAGAAATCCAGACAGCTGGCTCTTCTCCATGTAGCTCTTGTCATCTTCCTTCAGGCCTACCCTCTGAAGAGGACAAACCGCAAGAAGTACTACTACGAAGCTATCTTTCTGGCCATCATTCAGAAAAACAGAAAGATGGCCAAGGAAAGGGGACTATTAAGCCCTGAAGACTTTGCCCAGCTGCAAAAATACATGGAATGTGAGCCTTCCTCCCAGCTCTTCAGTTCTTGGAGACTACCCAAAGAATCCCTCTTTCTTCCTATTATATTTTCCCCATCATGCCCCAGTTTCCCCAGTGGCTTTAAGCCAGTCTGTCAGATGGACCCATGACTGTGTAAGGGAGAAAAACAGATAGGGAGATGCCTGGGGTCTCAGCTCTCTACCCACCTTCTGTATACTTTGACTGCTTTCTGCAAGCCCCAGAAAAGAAAAGAGTGGTACCATGTTAGAGGATCTGAAATGTTTTTCCCTTTGTATTTCTGTGTTTCTCCTTAGAATTCTTCCTTCATCTCATTCAAATCTTTTTTTTCCCATTGGATGTCTGAGTGGGACTCTGGCAGAAGGCCAGAAGAGCCAAGATGCCAAGATGGACTAATATTCTTTTCTTACTCTCTTCACACCTAGACTCCAACCAAAAGGTCAGTGATGTCCTAAAACTCTTCGAGAACGAGAAGATGGCCAAATATCTCCAAGGAGATGTGAGTGGCAGCTGGAAATTCTGCTCCTTAATCAACTTCTTCTTTTTTTTTTTTTTGCCACTCCATTGGAATCCCCACTTCAGGGATTATTCTTGTCAGCTCGCCTCTAAATGCCCCATTGTCCATTGTCATTGCAGCTTTTGCTTTAAGACAAAATAAGAGATCCTTTGGATTTGGCTTGCCAAGAAGCATATTACTGTTTCAAATGCTTCTCAGCTTTGCACTTACTGTATCTGGGCCCACTATTCCTAGTTCTTCAGTTCCCAACTCCTACCCTGCAAACTCCCAGAGTAATGCTCACTTCCATCACAGGCCATTGGCTATGAGGGATTTGAGCAATTCCTGAAAATCTATTTGGAAGTGGATAATGTTCCCCATCACCTAAGCCTGGCACTGTTTCATTCCTTCCACACTGATCACTGCTTAAAAGAGAATGTAAGGAAAGGTATGTTTCATGGTAGGACTGGGCTGGGCCTGTGGAAGAAAAGTAAAATTAGTGCGTTTGAGGATGAGGTTGAATTGAGTCACATGTTGAGTGGGTCAGGAGAGAGTGGTGGAGGGTAGTAAGGCTGGACTAGGAGTTAGCTGGAGGAAAGTTCAAGGGGGAAAGTTGTAATAAATAAAGGAGAAGAGAACCAAAGTGGAGGGGCCCTGACCTCAGATCTGCTGTACTTTTTTGTAGCAAATGTGGTATGTCTCAGTGATGTCTCCTGTTACTTTTCCCTTCTGGAGGGTGGCCGGCCAGAAGATAAGCTAGAATGTGAGTTGCTATTCTGGACTGGGAGAGGGGAGGAAAGGTGAGGGAAAAGGGAGATATTCATTCCCTAGCCTCCCTTCCCTCATTCTTTCAGGATTCCTAAAGGCTGACAGGGCCAGACAAAGGTGGGGCCAGAGATTGGGCCCATTTCCTCTGTTCTTCCAGACTACTTATACCTAATGCCATCCCTCATAGTCACTTGAATTCCCACATTTTGTACATTCTTATGTAGGCAGTCTGGGATGTTCTCGGGATATGGGAATGTGTGTTATCTCCCCCATCTGATTCACTGAGAGTGGCATCTATGCCTGCTTTCCTTCCCTTTTTGTCTCCTTTTTCAGTTCCACCCTAAGTCCTAGGCTCTTCACCCAAAAGTTTTTTTCCCTATCTCTGTTTCCCCTGTATTCTGGTGTAATTATTTAGTTATCTCTCACAAACTGACCCCAGCCTCCCTAAAACACCCCACAGTCACCTTCAAGCTGTATGACACGGACGGAAATGGGATCCTGGACAGCTCAGTGAGTTGTGGGACCTGTATGTTGGGCAAGGGAGTGTGCTTCCACTTGTCTGTGCTTTCCTGCCCCAGGGTAAAAAGCAGAGAAGGGGCTGAGAATGTAGCTCAGTGGTAGAGTACTTGCCTAGTACATTCTAGGTCCTGGGTTCAATCCTCAGCACTGAAAAAAAAAAAAAAAAAAAAGAAAAAAAAAAAAAAAAAAAGAGAGAGAAGGCTAGAAGACATTGAATCCTCTAGGGACTAAATTTGGGAGTAGGTCCTAAGCTCTTGACCCCTAAAAGAGAAGCCTGGAGACATGAACTGGAAGCTGACTTGCAAATATACAAACACATTTATTTACTTGGTAGAAGCACCTAAGAATGAGGGAGAGGTCTGGGAATAGAGCTCAGAAACCCTGGTTTCTGGAGAAGAGTCTAGTGTGGCAGTAGCAATGGGGGTATGGCTGTGGCTCTTTTCCTCTTTGCCCCAGGAAGTGGAAAGAATCATACTCCAGATGACACGAGTGGCTGAATATCTGGATTGGGATGTGTCAGAGCTGAGGCCGGTAAGGCAGTTCTTCCTCCCTGTCCTTTATTATGCCTTCTTCTTTGGTGATCCTACATCTGCCTTACCCTGTCTCTGATAGGCCACCTTGTTCCCTCAGCTAGGAGGGTTGTGCTGGGTATCCCAGGAGACAGTGGAGAGGTCTCTGAGGGGCATATCTACCCAAGTCCCTTCCCACTCTGTTCAGATTTTTCAGGAGATGATGAAAGAGATTGACTATGATGGCAGTGGCTCTGTCTCCCTAGCTGAGTGGGTCCGAGCTGGGGCCACTACGGTGCCGCTGCTAGTACTGCTGGGGCTGGAGATGGTGAGTAGAAGAAGCTTGTTAGGATGGCTTCTACTTGTCAGAGATTAGCCTGCTAAGGGCTTAGACACTCCTTAGCATCCTCTGTGCCCTCCCAGACTCTGAAGGATGATGGGCAGCACATGTGGAGACCCAAGAGATTTCCCAGACCAGTCTACTGCAACCTGTGCGAGTTGAGCATTGGTCTTGGCAAACAGGGGCTGAGCTGTAACCGTAAGTAATGGGACCCGGGAGTGTGGGAGAAGATTGGAGCCCAATTATCTGCAGGAGCATGACACTGAACTAAGACATGGGTTTGAATATTAGGTTTGAATACTAGGTTGTGCTACTAACTAGTTATGTGATCTTGGGAAAGCCACATAACTTGTTGTTTTGTAGTGCTGGGGAATCAAACCCACTGAATCATGCATCTTTTTTAAGCTTTAGTTTCCTCTACTGAAAATGAAGTCATTGTGAGCATTAAATAGTTTGATACTAAAAAAAAAAAAAATGTGCTTCACAGCCAAGCATGGTGGTGTACACCTGTAATCCCAGTTATTCAATAGGCTGAAGCAAGAGGATCACAATTTCAAGGGCAGCTTCAGCAATTTAGCAAGACCCTATCTTAAAATAAAAAATAAAAAGGGCTGGGATGTAGCTCAGTGGTAGAGTACTCCTGAGTTCAATCCCCAGTACTGCAAAAAAAGAAAGAAAAAGAAAAGTGCTTCACACGTTGTAATCACACACTATAAAATGCAATAAAAAGTAGTTAGCCAGGCACAGTGGTGAATGCCTGTAATTCCAATGGCTCAGAAGGCCGAAGCAGGAGGATAACATGTTCAAAGCCAGCCTCAGCAATTTAGTGAGACTCTAAGCAACTTAGCAAGAACAGGTTTTGGATGTGGCTCAGTGATTAAGCCCCTTTGGGTTCAATCCATGGCACCCTTCCCCACCACACATACAAAAAGTAGTTATTGGCTGGGTTTAGTACACATGCCTGTAATCCCAGCAACCAGGGATACTGAGGCAGTAGAATTGCAAATTCAAGGCCATCCAAGCAATTTAGTGAGATCCTGTCTCAAAACAAAATTTAAAAAAGTTTGGGGATGTAGGTAGGTGTAGACCTCCCCTGGGCTTAATCCATAATACCGAGAAATAAATAAATATTAGTTATTATTGATAATGTTATTTCTGGGCCTCCCTTAGATCATCCAGCCTAATTCCAGCTGGCCCATGGATGGTGTGGAGACAGGCTTAGGGTGGTAGTTGCTTTTTTAGGAGGAGGAGTGAGAAGAAGTCACAGTTTTTGGAGGTGAATCCCCCCTACAAAAAAATTAATTATCTGCTACACCCTTGAAAGCAAGGAATTTGATGTCTTGTTCTAGAGGGTGATCCTTTCCCCAAGTAAAGAACAGATGTGGGAAAGGACTGCAGCTAAGGCTCTGACCTTTTTCCCTTTCCCCCAGTCTGTAAGTACACTGTTCACGACCAGTGTGCCATGAAGGCCCTGCCTTGTGAAGTCAGCACCTATGCCAAGTCTCGGAAAGACATTGGTGTGAGTGATCCCTGGAAGCTTCTCCCACTCCCCACATTGCCACCCCCATCTTGGCCCCGGTCCTTAGTTTTTTGCTCCCCTCGGCCTCTTCCTCCCCCAGTCTCTGCAGACTAGGAACTGTCTTTCTCCCTAAGGTCCAATCACACGTGTGGGTGCGAGGAGGCTGTGAGTCCGGGCGCTGTGACCGCTGTCAGAAAAAGATCCGGACCTACCACAGTCTAACCGGGCTGCATTGCGTATGGTGCCACCTAGAGGTGTGAGAGCTCTCCCTCCAGTCTATGCCTTCTGGTCTCTCCTCAAGGGCCCTCTCTCCACAGGCCTCCTCAATCCCACCTCCTTTACAGCTGTAGTTGTCCTCGCTCCCAAGGGCTCTCTTTCCAGTCCAGATCCAAGTTGAAAGGTGGTAGAGTCCCTTGCATGATCCTGTATGCCCATCTTGTCTTTCAGATTCATGATGACTGCCTGCAAGCCGTGGGTTCTGAGTGTGACTGTGGGCTGCTCCGGGATCACATCCTGCCTCCATCTTCCATCTATCCCAGCGTCCTGGTGAGACACATAGAATGTCATTTAGAACAGGAGACCCTATACTTCTAGGATTCGAGTCAGGCCCATCTGTTTAGGGATTTATACACAATCCAGCTCTCCTTCCCTCTGCTTTGCTCCCCTCCCAGGCATCTGAACAGGAACGCAAACACAGCAAAACAAGCCAAAAGACCACTGATGACTCAAATTTGTGCATCTCTGAAGCTCTGCGGGTACAGGGCTGAGGTCTTGGGCTTCATGGTGGGGTCAGTTTTTGGCTGGAGCTGACATGGGAGGGACTGAAGTGGGAAATCCTTGGGAAGTGCTGCCTGATTTCTAGAGGCTCCATGGGGTAGGAGAGGAGAGGAGAACATGAAGGAGGGGAAAAGCATTTGGGAAATGCCAGTCCTCTGCCCCTGTCTCCAGGACCCACTTTAACACTGACAAAATCCTGCTTTCTTTATTCTTATTTTCTTCCCCAACTGCAGATCAACCCTGTTTCTAACACCCACCCACTTCTAGTCTTTGTCAATCCCAAGAGTGGTGGAAAGCAGGGACTGAGGTGAGGAAAAAGAAATTAGGGGGGCTGGGGTTATGGCTCAGTGGTAGAGGGCTCGCCTAGCATGCATGAGGCACTGGGTTCAATCCTCAGCCAAAGGTATTGTGTCCACTTAAAATTAAAAAATAAATATTAAAAAAAAAGACATTGGGTCTTTCTAGATGGAGAGGGAGGGCCAGAGCTTGGAGGGAGAAAAGGAATATGTATCTAATTGGATCACCTTGAGGAAAACATGAAGCTTTCCTTTTTTTACTCACACAGGGTCCTTTGGAAGTTCCAATATATACTAAACCCTCGGCAGGTGATCAACCTCCTAAAGGATGGTCCTGAACAAGGGTGAGTATAGGCTAGGGGCCATATCACAGTGTTTTCTTGTGTCTATACATGTTGAGAGTAAACAGTACACAGTGCATATTGAGAGAGGAGGCCTAGGGGAACCCAAGACACCAGAATTTCGAATGCTTCTTTCCCTAAGGTATCTCCTCCTCTCAGCTCTCTTTCCATCTTTGTCCTGTTTTCTTTCTTTCTTTTTTTTTTTTTTTGGTGCTGGGGATTAAACCCAGGGCCTTGTGCATGCAAGTCAAGCACTCTACCAACTGAGCTATATCCCCAGTGTTTTGTCCTGTTTTCAAGGGATGAAGATCCATTTTTTCCCCTAACCACTAAGGAGTAGCTATAATTTTCTCCATTGTCCTTTTCTCTTTCTAGAAATTCAAGTCTTCTTTATTTTAAAAATTATTGTCAAGAGCTGTAGTGCACACCTGTAATCTCAGCGACTAGGGAGGCTGAAGCAGGAGAATCACAAGTTCAAAGCCAACCTCAGCAAAAGCGAGGTGCTAAGCAATTCAGTGAGACCCTGTCTCTAAACAAAATACAAA